AAAAAAAAAAAAAAAAAAGTCCCAACAAAAAACGAGTCCAAACAAGCAAAAAAGAGCTTCAATCCAAAAGAACGATTCCAAGACCATATTACAAAAAAGACGATCGAAGCCCAATGACTTCAATCTGAAAGAAAACTACCAAGGCCATAATTATAAAATCTAAAAGAATAATACCAAGGCCATAATCACAAAAAGTTTAGAGACAAAAGCCTACAGAGAGATATTAGACCTACCCACTTTCCAAACCTCTTCACATAATCTCTCAACCTCTCTAAAAATTATATCGTTTCCCTCAATCTACCCCACACAATTGCAAAGAAACTCATTTGCCACAACATATTGCCAATCTCCTTAAAAGGAGGATTCGAGAGCACCTGCTCCATCATCCATCTAGTGATCCCAGATGAGAAATGGAAACTGATAATCCCACAACAATTTATCAAGATCTTCATCATGCCGCTTGCAGAAAATGCACCACTAAATAATTTAAGAGATCCACACATAAATTTTCTCCGAATGTACCAGTCATAATGTATTCAGGGTGTTTTAAAAAAATAATACAAATTCAGGGTGGTCTAATCTGGAGGCTGCCATTTAGCGAACTAGAATTTTGTGTATTCTTCGAAGATTCAAGGTAGCCTTGGTTTTGGCTATACCAGAGAGAGGAATACTCCTCCTCTAACCCAGTGGCTTTTGAGGGCAATTCCTTTCAGAATGGTGCTGAAAAATAAATATGATATTGCTAAGCATGGTTTACGGTCTCCTAAATGTTCTTGAGTTAGTACCAAGTTCCCTTCGTCTTCTCTACCCACAGTACAAAGTTTTCAGCTCTAGATTCTGTGAAGAAGTCATTGTTGAATTGAAAAAACAGAAGATATCCTGAAGCATTCGACAACCCAGGCAAGAGTTACTTTCAACGGACATAGTAATACAAACCTGGTTCCCTCTATACCAGCTATCTACTTGGATTGTGAAGGCTTTCCTTTCGATGGTGACAGAGCAGCATCTGTAATTGCATGCCAGTGATGGAGATGATGGTTAGGTTAAGCCATAGCTGTAAGTGAAGAGGGGGAGACATGGGAGAGCTGCTAGTTGATAGGGAAGTAAAGTTCTATGCTAAGGGCGAATATTCACTTCATTAATACCCAATTTAAAAAATTCAGCCGATCATAGCCTAATCAAAATTCCACCTCACTGAATTACCAACAGAGATGGACATGTGGTCTTTTCTACAAAATCCTATGATGGACATGGGGAAAAAAGTAGATGCAATAAATCCTATGCTAGCAAAGACAATATGGAAAGGACATCAACCTAAAAAGGTGAACTTCTTCCTCTGGAAAATAGCGCATAAAGCCATCAGCACAAGTGAAAATCTTCAAAAAAGAATGTCTTACATCACTCTCTCTCCAAATTGGTGTCTATGATGCAAGAAAGAAAACGAATCACAAAGTCAATTGTTTATGAAATACACATACGCTCAAAATTTCTAGGCAACGATTCTCAATATATTTGAATGGTATCTCACATTTCCTAGGGAGGTAAAGGATTTTTTTTGGATATGGCCTTAATGTACCACCCTTTCAAGAACGCAAAAGCCCTATTATGGAAAAACATCATCATGGCTTTCCATTTTGGAACGTGTGGAAAGAAAGAAATTAGAGAACATTTGCAGAAAAGACACAGACCTACACAAAACTTTTCGAAATTGTTGTTTACAAAGATATATATCTTAGTGTAAACTGTCTAATATTTTTACTTCCTATAGTTATACCTCCCTCATTGCAAATTGGGAAGGTCTTTTGTAAACACCATGGATTACACATCCCTTTTGTAAATTTCAATCATCAATGAAATTGACTCTTATAAAAAAAAATAATAAATAAATAAAAAATACCAACAGAAAAAAAGAAAAAGGATGGTCGAAATCTTGGTCTAATTTGAATGTATGTTAGCCTAAGAGTCCAAGACTAAAAGTGTCGGAACCTGGAAATAGAACTACTGTACAATAAAGTGGCACATCCTAACTCCCCCATTCTGGATATGAGCTAGCCCAAATAGCAACATGAAGAGAGAAGAAGTAGATGGCATTCCACATGACTAAAACAAAGAGAAGATCTAAAGTATTCAATCGATATCTACATAACTTATTTGAAAATGAGCAACAATCTAACCATCTATACGTAGCACAAATAAGCAGTATAGAACCATACCAAAAGTTGCTCCAAAAAGCCGAAATATGAAAGTATGCTAACCAACACAAGCACAGAAATATCCTGCAAAATCCTATGAGAACGAAAAGAAAGTGAGATTAATTCCATTCCATTTCCTTATATTGATGCCAAAAATGCCTTCAAGAAAAAAGAATATTATTAAATGAAAGAAAATTAAAAACATCTTTTGAAAAAGAAAATGAAAAGTGAAGTAATTTGAGACTCCAACAAAAATAAAAACCAAATGAATGATACTCTACACACACTACACAACATGCATTTGAGAGACCACAATTCCAAATTTGTCTCTGAGTTGATGCATAAGAAGTGAATGAAATTTATTCTCGACAATTTTCACAAAAACCAAACCAAGAGAGCGATGATTATGCTATCACAATTATCTTTTAAAATCTTTTCCCCCCTTCATATAGGACATGTTAAAGCCACTGTCACACAGTTCTTGGGCATATATATTTCAAAAAATCCTTTGAGGAGTAATCAAAATTTAAAAAAAAAAACATCCTTGGCAACACATTAGACAAGCATCAGACAGAAGCATTAATAGATTGCTTTCTAGTAATTGATCAAATAATCCTCCCTTTTCGCTAAAGTTCAGATTCTATGAAATGTCCTGCTCAATGTTTCCTCCATCATTGTCTCACGGTCTTTGTTCCCATCACCCTTCATATGTTTTTTCCTCCCTGAACTTCTTTTTCCTAACCTACTTGCATTTTTCACTTCTCTGCTAACTTCGTCATAAACATTTCTTTTTCTTATAATAAATTAAATACTGGTGTAAATTGGCCCAAAAAATCTCTGACATTAACCATTCAAGTTCCTTCTTTCCTTAACAAATCTCAAGAAACAAGGTATAAGAAGTTCAAGTGATGAGACATTAATTTCATGTCAAATAAAAATAAAAAAAAAGTCTGTCATAGTATTGGAAAACAACTTACCAATTGCGATGAACCTCCCTCTGCTGCAATGTTACTGGGGGTCGTCTAGTAATAGGGAGTGTGTTGTGTAATTTCAATAAAGTCACTGGCAAGTTTTTGACATCCTGGTTGCAAATATCACAGATCTTGTTACCTTTAATGCTGAACCACTTAATTGCACACTCTTTGTGAGCGAGAGCTAGGTCTCCTTTGCAACTGCATTCCAGTTTAAGTGCATCCCCGCCTTCCACCAATTCTATATAACAGATCCTGCAAACTGCTTCATCTTCAGGTATATCATCACCAGCAGGTTCCCTTTCTAAGGAAAAAAACCAACTTCAGCATGTCAATCTAAGAACTATAATTATCCAACTTCATTTGTATTATGTCAGAAGTTTTGCTTCTTGGAAATATTTGCAGTAAAGAAAACTAATAGTAATAAAGTACTGGAAACAATAACAGTTGAACATCAGACATTTAGCAACACAAATGAGTGGCATAATTCTTGAGAGGAACAATAGGATCTTTAGAGCTGTTGAGAGATCTTGACAGGAGTTTTGGGACTTGACTAGGTTTAATTCTTCTTTATGGGCGCCTGTTAATTCAGCATTTTGTATTTACCAGCTTGGTCACAGTCTCTTGGATTGAATTTCTTATAGCTTGTGTTGGATCCATTGTGCGCTTATTTTTGCATATCCTTGTACATTCTTTCATTTTTCTTCATGAAAACTCAGTTTCTTACCACCAAAAAAAGAAATAAAAAAAACAAGGTGGCATAATTGCAGACAGCAAACTGTACTATTTTTTTGGTTGGTTTTAATCAATTAGGGCAGCATAATTCAATGTTTTTGAATTGGCATCATTAACCAACGACCAGCAATGAGTTGGATAAAATTTATTACTCTTCTCTGTATACATCTATAAGAAAATAAAATTTCTCAAGTATTGAACATCCAGAAACATGTCAAAAAAGCCTTTCAGCTAACTAGCATACCAGTCCCTCTTTAGCACAAAAGACACTGTCAAAATAAAAACTTGCCTTCCGCAAAATACAAAGCTGAGTAGTTGTTTAGGAAAGAAAAAATAATTTTAAAATTTGATGGTTTTTAAAGGAAGAAATAAAAATATATCAACTTTGCTTATGTATCACATTTAGTAATATCTAAATTTTAAAAGGCTTATAGCATAAAAACAATCACCCTCCTCTGGTCGAGGATTTGGAGATCTAAAATGTCAAATAAAAATATCTCAACTTTGCTTATGTATCACATTTAGTAATATCTAAATTCTAAAAGGCTTATAGCATAAAAACAATCACCCTCCTCTGGTCGAGGATTTGGAGATATAAAATCTCCCTCACAAGAGAAAGGATCTGGTCAAGGGTTTTAACATCTTTCTAGTTTTCACTCTGTCACATGCATAATATGTGAAATAAGTCGAATCAATAAAATTAGAACTGCAAAAACCATTTCTAAGTTATTTTAGGCATTAGTTGACAAGCATGCTGCTTTAAGAATTATGCTAAAATTAAACATCTAAGAAACAAAAACCTCAAGGAGATTTCTTTGAAATGATCAGATGTTTCCATAAACATTTTTTTTTTTTATTGAAATGAGGAGTAATTTTTTTTTTATAAGCTTCTTCAGTCTTATTACTAAGTTCCTACTTGTCAGTGATTTACTCGGAGAAAGTTTTAATTCATAAAAGGCACCATAACATACATGTAGTCAGGTTGTGTCCTCATAGTAGCAATGCATATAGTAATTTAAGTAATATCGGACAAAAAATCGCTGAAGTTTTAATTATACAGTGGAAACAACCTATATCATTACCACTTTCCTTTGTTTGAGAAACTGAGGAGTCTCCAGTCCCTGCATATTGTGGACCTGCAGACACTACTCGAATTAAACCTACTGAATCTAGTCGCCTTAAGACTTTAGGCTTGGCATTCAGAGGAGCTGATAATGAACGAGCAATATGCTGCTTGACTTTAGTTTTCTGAAAGAATAACAAAATCCACTTTCAAAAGGAAAATAATATTGCAGTATTCACAAGTAGTTGGCGTCAGGTGTATGAATCTCATCTGCTTTCATGAAATTTAAGAAACTTGAACAAATGGATACTTACAAGGAAACCAGGATGACACTCCATGTTTGTTGCTTCAAGTGCATTGGTATTGGAACTTGAAATTGGTGTGACTGGTGAAGAATGTGCAGCTTTTGTAGATGAGGCAAAGAGAAGCTTGTTAAGAGAAAAAGATCGTGAGGTAGCTGCATTGTCTGAACATCTATTTGATGGTTGCATCTCTGGTAAAATAGGAACAACCATATCACCATCTGGGAATGAATGTTTTGCCCCGAAGCTTTTTTGAGGAAAGAGGCCTCTCGCAGATGATTTGACTTTTACTGAATTTGGTTTTGGAGGCAATCCTCCCCTAATAGAGCTAGAACTTGAAGTTGATGAACCATCCAACCTCAAAAAGGACGAACTCTCTACATTCCTTACTGGAATTTGCAGAAATGGCAAATTGGGCCGTCTAGACTGTTTCAATAAGGATGTTTCGATAACATTTTCTTCTTGATCATGTTTCTAAGGAAAAACCAAGATCTGTCTCAGTAAATATAATAATTTAGCAACCTAATAATGGAATGTTGAAGCAAAAGCTAATTGAACTAAGGCACCTGACCATTCAAATAGACTGAAATACAAAATAAAGGGAAATCCTGACAAGTTAATTATTGCCTACCAGGAACCAAAAATAAAAGGTGCCAACCAGAAAGGTAGCAACTAGTGTGAAACACTATCAACTTAATCTCAAACATCACTTTTCAGAAAGCGATGAGCTTACAGAGTAAAGGCCTAGGAAACATGAAGCTTCAACATTGTCTTTCTGGATTCTAAAACCAATTTTCAAAAGACAACAAACAGCTCATTTTTCATAAAGAAAATAAACGCATTGCTCTTTACTTTCCATACACAACGGTGAATATGTTAAAATCATGTTCTCCATGATTGTGAAAGACTTTTCAGCTAGATGGCTGTCTAGTTTCCTGATGAACTCAGAACCAGCACGAGGGGAAAGTATCTACAGCTATGTTTCATAAATCCATCGATTTGATCAAATTAATATGGATGACTCCGAACCTATGTTACTTCTCTTCGAGTTCCGGGTTAATACCAGGTAAAAGAGCCACACCATGTTTGATTGGCAATAGCTACAAAAAATAAACCAACATTCTAATCAATTTTGCATGAATATGCTGTAAATTTCGTATAGAACTGTTTGAAGAGAGAGATTCCAGTTTGGAATATAATTCTTATTGCGAGAAGATCAAATTGGACTTCACTCCCATCGTACCTAATTACTCTCTTCGCCGTTCAACCAGATTGGCATGTGCAATATCACATACAACAAAAATTAAAAACAGTGATAATGTATCATACTATCGAGTGGCGAATGCCGATGAAACCTTCTAATTACGGAGAGGATAACAACAAGAATAGCTGAAGTATATCGTTGAAGGATTGAACAAAACAACCTCGGGATGATCCGGATAAACTGAGGTCGAATCTTCGGTGCCTTGAAGTCGAACTACAGCGTCGTCCATCAAGCTCCGCGAAATTTACTCCGATGAAACGAATGAAGAAGCCCTTCGAAGACGACTGGATCTCTGCCGAGAGAGACCACAGCTAAATTGTAGAGAAGCTGTTGAATGAGGAACGATAACTCGAAATTCAAAGCTGATCGGTGATTATCGGCGCAGGGGAGAGTGAGTTTGCAGTGTGCTTCTTCTCAAGTGGCCATTAGAAACAAAATTGCCCGCCAACGGTGTTATTTCCGTCGGGATTCCATTATTCCTTTTTTTTTTTTTTTTTTCTGTGATTTTATTCTCTCACCATTTATTTTTTTTTTAAAATATCTCTATTATTTCGAATATTACAATAATTATTAAATGATGGTGGCTATAATGCTTGAATTAAATCTTTAAAAAATTACATTTAAATATATATTAATTTTTTCATCTATTATTTCGATTATTTCAATAATTATTGAATAATGGCTACTATTATGCTTGAATTAAATTTAAATCAATAATAAATTTCGATCACAGTGGAGGTTATTAACGTGCGTTACTAGCCTATTATCTACAATAGTCTATCAATGTTATCGACTTTATTTAGCTTTATTTGATGTTTAGTTGTTTTGATATTAAACCTTTAACGTCTCTCTATTAGTCTTGTAATTTTTACATCATTCTATCATCCACTTTGAAAAATAAATATTGAAGCTTAACCATCGTTTCGCGTTATTACGAAGAAAAAAAAAGTTAATGATCCTGATATCTACGAGATTTCAATCTTATTGATGTTGATTGATAGTGTAACGATCGTATTCTTTTGTTAAAAACAAAGTCGTTACTGTATGCATGACATATCTATTATAGATGAAAAAAATCATTTAAAACATTTCATAAATGGTGTCATGAACTTGAACCTTTGTAAAATTTATACCTCTATTTTTTTTTTCCGACATAACATTCCTATGAGACATACATACTTAATACTTGTCATATTGTTCATGTATAACATGTATGATTTTCTAATGTGGGCATACATATTAACATAATATATATTATAGCATAAACTTAATATAGTACATATCATACAATCATAAAACATGACACGTGCACGAGCCACAAAATACTCCCTGAAATGTTTCAGTCATGCTTCCTTAATGTTAGCTTAAAGATACTCCTTGAAATTTAGTCATAATTTAGAAGTCTACTACCTAAATTGAATCGTATCCAAATAATTTAAATTAGCTCAATAGTCAAAAGTTTGTACATATCAAACCCGAGCAAAACCAAGCTAGATCTAACGAACAAACAAACAAAAAAAAATAGTATCATCCGACAAAAACCTCCCTTTTGGCATGACCACGACTCCCTAATTTCTCAATCTACCAGAAACAACCTTTTTCGTTTCTATTTATTATTATTTTTTCTAATTTTTTTTTTGGTTGTTACAAATATGGTATAAATCCATCCATGAGAGACTTCAATGTGGCACATGAATCTATTTCAATGATGAACAGATATTAGAGAGAAACATCAATCAATATCATAAAGAAACAAGAACTAAACTCGATGAGAATAAAAATAAAATGGTGTTTTTTAGTTCAATTTAGCTTCCATATTATTACCCGGCAGCCACAGTAAACCCACCATGTAACGACCCAAATCCACTGCTAGCAGATATCGTCCTCATTGGACTTTCCCTTTCAGGCTTCCCCTCAAGACTTTCAAGACTTTAAAACGTATCTACTAGGGGAAGGTTTCCACACCCTTATACAGGGTGACTTTAAAACGTATCTACTAGGGGAAGGTTTCCACACCCTTATGCAGGGTGATTTGTTCTCCTTCCCAACCAACGTGGGACATCACACACCACTTCCGACATCAAATTTCTTCATTCCTTTCAAATAATTCAGTCTAGAAATTTACCCATTTTAGCTTGTGTCTCGTAGATACTTCAGAAAAAAGCAGTCGATTATAAGCCATAAACTATCCCAATGAACAAGAATGGTGATACATGGTTTAAGAAAGAGGGATATAATAGAATACAACTATTATGGCATATCAAAAACGATTTATACATAAGACCATAGGAACTGATCCCAAATATTGAGGTTAGTTTTCCTTCAAAGTGGCTACAACATTTGTCTTGTATCAACTACATAAAGATTTCAATGCGTAATAGAAAATATAAGAAACGATGAACATGTTCAGGGCCCTACCTCAAAATCCCCTCGTATAATCTTGCTTCAAAAGAATTCTGTCATTAATCCATGGCAATATTATTTCCCCGTGATGTTGTTGTGTTTCCCTGCACGAAATGAAAGCTAGCAAAATCAGAGAATCTAAACTGAACATATGAAATAATCTTTCATCCTTCACATAATTGTCACCTTCTTCAGATCGAAAAACTGGAAACGACCGTTATAAACATCGGCACTCACCAATTTAGTTCAGAACTGTCTTTTCCCAGTTCTCTGATCCGCATCCATGTCACCAAATAAGCCAGAGTTTTTAGAATTTCTGTCACCAAATCCTGAACTACGACCTGAACCACCGAAATCCCCGAAGCCACCGGATCGACTAGAACTGCCGAAGTCTCCAAACCCACCAGAACGACCAGAACCAAAACTACCAAAAGATCCTGCACCGCCGGAGCTAGGTTCACTATTTCTGCCCCCTTGCCCAAAAGAATCCCTGCCACCGGAACGTCTAAAACCTGAATTTTCATAACCTGCCGAACGACCAAAACTTGGACCTCTTTGACCACCAAAACGGCCTGAATCATTCATTCGACGATCCCTGAATCCTCCTCCTCCAAAAGAACTAAATTGACCACCACCACTGAACATATCGACATGAGCACCACTCTCAACAGAGATCTTCGGAAGCTGATAATCAAGAACAAAGCAATCAGTGTCAACTTTACATCAAGTAGTAATATACTCCAAGGTGGACTAATATTAACTCGTAAATTTCTGAGATCGGAGGATACTAGAGAAGTCGATTGTTCTAATTACAGCACCCTACAGTGATTGGTATGCTGAAGAGAGATCCTAACCTCATTAAATCTGCAGCCTACTTCACGCTCAATCATCCTGACAGCCCTTGACTGATCCTGCGAGTAAATAAGAATAGCACTACCTTTCTTGCCAGCACGACCTGTACGTCCTGATCTATGGACAAATATCTCTGTGTTGTTTGGAAGCTCAAAATGTATTACCTAATAAAAAATCAAGGTCAGAAAGAATCCATGGGATCTTAATGGCTATACAGACGAAAGACTCCCTCACCCTTCAAACCACTTCCTCCTAGGCTCCCAACAGCACAAGAGGAAGAGAGATGATAGAGTCTGGTACTACTATTACACTGCCCTAGTTTGTTTTCAAAGTTAAGAGTAAGGTATATTATTGACAAGAAAAAATTTAATGGTTCACCATGCAACCAGAGACTATGTGCTATAAAACAAGATAAAAGATGAAAAAAATATAGAGGAAGATTATCACTTACAAGATCAACATTGGGTATATCAAGACCCCTTGCTGCAACATCAGTTGCAACTAAAACGTTGAAATGTCCGTCTCTAAAACCAGAAAGAGTTCTTTCTCTCTGAGACTGTGAAATATCTCCATGCAAAGCTTCACATCTGAAGTTCCTTGCCATTGCATAGGCTAATCTATCAGCATCACGTTTCGTTTGAGTGAAAACAATACACTTTCCTCCTTTTGCATGTTCCTACAAAGCAGATAATCATTGGCAACAGCATGATGAAAGCAAGCATTCAACAAGCAACATGAAATGATAGAACCAGGTAAAATATGGCTTTGCAGAAATCAAAGGGGGGAAAACAGAAGCTATGCAACCATACTGTTATCAGAGGTCCAATTATTGATGCTTTTCCACGCATATCTGAAACAATTGAAAATAGGCTAATTCCATCTGCCAATTTCTGATCAGAATCTCCAACCTGAAATATTGATAAGTTTTGTCAAACTTCCAATCCTCCAACCGAACTTCATGAGACAATTGAATAGTGATTTTGATTAGCAAGAGCAGTTTCAATTATTTAAAATATCATGTGCACCTTCAGTTTCTGAGTCCACTAATTTGATGGTTGTGTTGTCAGTGATATAATTTTTTAGAAAAATGCTTCAGTTGATATTATTAGATTCCAAGAAGTAGAAAAGATATTAAGTAGCCAACATACTCACAAGATCAATAGTTAATGGATTGGTTAGGTAATTTTGAGTGAGTTTTCTGATCCAAGATGGCATTGTTGCAGAGAACATCATAGTCTGACGTTTCTGAGGCAACCTCTCCAAGATCTTCTCAACATCCTCTTGAAAGCCTACTTGAAGCATCTGATCTGCTTCATCGAGAACAACAAACTGGACTTCTGATAAATTAAGCGAACCCCTATTGAGAAGATCAATCAAGCGACCAGGTGTGCCAACAGCTATGTCAACGCCATAGTCAAGCTGCCTCATTTGGCGTGAAATTGGTGCCCCTCCATAAACACATATTGTGTCCAAATTAGGTGCAGCCTCTTGAAACTCTTTTTCAACCTGCCGAGCAAGTTCCCTTGTTGGAGCTAGAACCAGGGCCAACGGGTACCTTCCTCTTCTGCATAATTTCTAAAGAATTATGATTTTTTAAAATTTAAAGAATACCCATTCAAACCCTTCCCAGATAACGAATTAAACAGAAACTAAGCTAATTGGAAGAAAAATGACCAAGGTTGAAACACAAACCCGTGTTTCGCATTGAACTGAATGATTTTATCCAAGATGGGTATTCCAAAAGCAAGAGTTTTTCCTGTTCCAGTTCTAGCACGACCAATCATGTCACGGCCTTGCATGGCTGGTTCTAGCACGGCTCTCTGAAAAAGATTGAGAAACAGCATACTTTTAAACCCCAATGGAAAATGAAACACGAATCTCGAAACAACCCAAACGGAACTATTATAAGCCGAAATCAAAACATATGCATTATTCGACTGAGGAATATGAACGATAGGCACATTCCGCAATACAGGTACCACACGTACGGCCAAAAGGTGTCGAAATAAGGAACATGGCCTCTAGCTCTCAAAACAAATGAAATTGGTTCCTAAAAAATATAACCGTAACTTCATCGCCGTAATTCAACGTCCAAGCTGGGGTGAGTTAGGGCGGATATAAACAAGCAGTAGTTTGAAGAAGCGATCAAAATCGTCGAAACTAATTTTCAAAAATTTCTCCACGACTCGCCCATGTTGTTCAACCCCAACAGCAAAAACTGGTAATCATGAAATAAATGAGAGAGAAAAAAAAAACAGTACCTGAATAGGGAAGAGCTTCGTTATACCCTTTTTCGCCAAAGCAGAAACAATCTCCGGCGCGATCCCGAGACTGCCAATCTCGAGTCCGTCATCACCGCTTTTACTACTGCTAGCATCATCGTATTCCTCCACCGCAAACTCCGCCCGGGAAACCAACGACGACTTAAAACCCAACGGCCCAGAAGCCGAGTGAAATCCCATCGATTGAAAACCAAAACCCAAAGCTCTCTCCGTCACCCCAGTAGTGGAGAAACGTCCGAACTCAGCAGCAGGTACAGCACCGCCATTAACATCCACAGAAGACGTTAAAAAGTTCGCGATTGGGGCTAAGAAGGTAGAACTAACTCTACCTCTGGAGGCCGCTAAGGCAGCGGATCTCCGTAGAAGAACTGAACTCATCATCGTCTTTGAGCACGAATTACACTAACAGAGCTGCTCAAAGAGTTCGTGGAAGAAGTGAAGAGAGAAATGATGGGTAATGGAACTGGCTAGGGTTTAAGAAGAATATCGCAGAGTGAAAGGGGCTTTAGTACTACCGGACTCCCGAGTAAATGGAGGCCTTCCCAAATTAGGGCAACACCCGACATGCATCATTTTCATAAAATAATGAACGAAATTACATTTATGCCCTTCAACTTTTAATTATTTCAAATTAATTAAGACTAAATTAATTAAAAAATATATATCTCAAACTTTATAATTTATTTTCAAAAATATTTCTATTTCAAAATTATATCTAAAAAAATACTTTTACACGTTATTTTTTATGAAAATAGTGTTTTGTTTTAAAAAATATATATTTTTCACTAAATAATAATAATAATATATATTACAACGGGGTATTTTTTAGACTTTATTGAAAGTTTATTAAAAAAAATCAATTTAATTTGTTAGTATTAAGTTGGTTAAGTTCGTAATAGTAATTATTATATATTTTGAAAATCTCACGACATAACAATTTCACCGGTGCACATGAATTAAAGCAACTATTATCATCTTAACGGGTTTTAAAAATGATTAAATTAAACGACCCACTATAACTCACAAACAACAGCAATTCTCACTACCCATAGTCCAGTATTACCTTGGATTTTACGACTCTACATGATCATAGGTCGAGACCGGTTTAGTTGCACAAGACAATTGTTTGATCTCACGTCTCCTGATAAAAAAAAAGACCCGTAAAATCTGAAATATTATATACATGTAAGAACTAGATAAAATGAAATGTAGACTCGAGAAATGAATGAAAATATAACAAAAATGGGCATCAAAGTTCCACAGTTGTATACCAGCTAGGTTGTGATTTGAGAAAGGACTTAGATTTCTCCAGCTAAGTGAATTTTGTATTACAATATACCAACATAGAGTAAACAAATATATAACATTAACAGATCTTAGCACATAAACCCTCCAAGTTTTGTTGGTGAATGCCATTCAAAATAATTTTCTCATCTCTTTGGTTATTGTGATGAATTACATCATCAGCATAATCCAATTCATTGTCTTCCTCGTCCTCGTCCTCCATAGACCTAGAAAACTTACCTGCTCTTTCTGCATCGCTACTTTGATTTGGATATCCTACGAGTTGATTAGCTTCATCGAGCTCTTCGGCTGTGTTCGCCAAAGATAACAGGATATTTTTCGCTTTTTGATCAGGTCGAACGCCACACGATTCAATTTCCTTGAACCAAATAACAGCACTGCCAAAATCCTTGTTTTTTCCAAATGCATCCATGATCGTCGTCAAAATCATCTGATTCACTCTTATTCCATTGAGCTTCATTTCTTCATATTTTTTAAGCATCTTGTCAAGATTATTTATTTTAGCATACCCTTTGATCAATGTACCATAAGTAACGACATTGGGTCGAAAACCGTCCTGTTTCAGTTGTCTGAAAAAAATTTCGGCTCCTTCCATGTCAGATGCATTAACATAAGCTGATAACATGGTTGTATATGAGCATATATCTGGACTGCATCTGTATCAAACAAATGATGATGCCAATCTATTACCAAAAGCTCAAGAAATGCATGCCAAAAGAACTAAGGAATTGGAACCACACTACATAAACTTCAATCAATACTACACTAAAAGAGGATATTGAATCACTAAATGCAATCATTAGGCAGATAATAGTACCTGTCTCTTCTCATACTCTTGAACACAATCTTAGCTTGCTCGACCATCCCAGAGATTGCAAATGCATCAAGCAAAATATTATAAGCTTTGCGAGTTGGTCTGAAAAACGCCAGGCAGAAATGTTTTATCAGTGCACAACTATTTTGGTTTACTATTCATCATTAGCAATGCCCGTGTAATAGCTCAAGTCCACCGCTAGTAGATATTGTCCTTTTTGGATTTTTCCTTTTGGGCTTCCCCTCAAGGTTTTTAAAACGTGTTTGCTAAAGAGAGATTTCCACACTCTAATAAAGAATGCTTCATTCTCCTCCCCAACCGATATGGGATCTCACAATCCACCCCCCTTTAGGACCTAGCGTCGTCGTTGGCACTCGTCTCCTTCTCTAATCGATGCGGGATCTCGCTATCTATCGAGGGTTGTAGGGAAGGAGAATGAAGCATTATTTATAAAGGTGTGGAAACCTCTCCCTAGTTGACGCGTTTTAAAGATCTTGAGGGGAAGCCCGAAAGGGAAAACCTAAAGAGAACAATATCTGCTAGCGATGGGATTGGGTTGTTACAGCCCGATGCCGTGTCAAGTGAATTTGAAGCAAAATAGAAAAATGAAACCCATATTATGGGAGAATATTGATTTCCAACCAGATACTATATGCGGTAGTTAAAAGAAGAAAGTGCCGAAGGGAAGTACCTGACACCAGCATCAAGCATTTCCTCAAAAACTGCTAGTGCTTCTTCCTCTCTTCTAGCTTTACCATAAGCACCAATGAGTAAAGCATAGCTGACAACATCTGGTTGGAGTCCAGCTCTTTGCATCTACAGATGAGAATTTGAATTCAAATTTGATCAATCTCGTTAAGAAGGAATAGGAGATGAACAAAAGATTAAACTATTAAATTGGCTGACAACATTGGCCACTGAAGCAAAAGCATAACCTCCCAAAATTTTAACTACAACACAGCCGCTAATATTCTTGTGATGCAATGGAAGTTACCAAATATTCAAGATTTCGTTTCCCTAACATCTCGATCATACCAATATTTGCTACATCGTTCAATCGGTCTTCAATTCACACAACCCAGAAAATGTGACAGTTACACACTTGCCAATTGAATGTTCACATGGTTATTGTCTTAAAAGATTAAAACTACAATGGAAAGAACCCAATAAGACTTTCATATCCAGAGCATTAAAATCACATAAACTAGACAGAAATCAGCATATGGTCTTAAAATCAGTGGCTCAGGAAAAGTGCTGCTCAATCGAAAACCTAAACAGCCCCGTTCATAAGAGAAAATTATTCAGTGACAGTATCCTACATCTGAAATTCCTAGAACTTTCACCCATGTGAAAACAATGTCTAGTAAAGACCAACCCATATAGGTTTACCTGATCATAAATCCTCGAGACCTCCTTGTAGTTGGTTTCAAACGACATCAAACTATTATAAGTAATTGTAGATTGTGGAACTCCTCGTGCTGCCATTTCAGAAAATAATTTACGAGCCTTTTCGTAATTCCCAGCCTTCTTGAACATATAAATCATCATGTGGAACATCTTTTGGTCTGGCTTCAATACTTGCCCTTCCTTGTTCAAGAGGGAGTCAAAGAGTTCTTCAGCTTCCTTGAATTTACATCCCTACAGTAATGCCTCGTCATTTTGTGAACTAAAACAAACAAACCAAGAAATGCACACATTCGAAGATTGCATAGGCTTGAAAGAAGAAAACGAGTTTCTGAAACAAAATTTTGCAAAGTGTTTGATTCGTTCGGTTAGGAACTTATATCCAAAGAATAAAAATAAATTAAATCAAAATACAGATTGTGATCAGCTTTGAGTTTTGGGTCAAAATCTTGATAGGGAGAGCTTGTGTTTCAAGTTCCAACAAAATTATTCTGCATTGGAGCATAATATCCAGAATCACATATACAGCCTTAAACGCCCCAAATTTGACATTGAAAGTTCACAATAATTAAGAACATTTTTTATTTTCATGAGGGTCGAATTGAAGGATTAGACCGATAAATGAAGGAATATAGTTGAAAGGCTTTAAATAAGATAATGTTTAAACTTAGTACCTCAACAAAAGTTTTTAGCATAATTTGATATGTCAATGCAGAAGGTTCAGGACCACCGGATTGCATCCTTCTAAAGATTGCTTCAGCATTATTATACCTGCCACCTCTTCCATATGCTTCCATAAGAGCAGTATGAGAGATCACGTTTGGTGCATAACCCTTCTTATTCATCAAGTTTAAAACTTTTTCTGCACGATTGAACTCCCCTAGCTTTCCATAAGCTGTAATAAGCATCAAATAATCCATTTCACTAAAGTTCCACCAGCTCTGGGTCCGGAGCCATTCGAGAATCTATAAAACAGTTGAAAAACACGATTTTGGACGATCAGCACATCTGAAGCTTGTAAGTTGTAAAACAAAGGACTTAGGAATAGAATCCGGACATTACAACGACCACGCAAGAACTTCATTTTTTAACTTAAATTATTTGATATTCATATTGAAGTTAAAACACGCATTGTGAACAATTCTTACACGAACATAGTGTTTAAGTACATCTTCTGATTCCAACTAGAAGACGTTAATGATTTCGAAATAGCATCTAAATTGTTTCACAAACTTTAGAGGCAGACTATACATCAAATGGTGCATTGCATTATCTTACATAAGACTACATTTTTATACTCATTCAATTCTAATTTCAGGCAATTCGCCCTTCGAGATTCATTTTTCATTTCCTCCTATAAAGAACAAAATTTTGAAACAAGAGTAAATATCAAATCATACAAATGTTTATGCTCTGTACCTCACTGACAATGTTCCATTTCTTTAGCTGTTTAAATCTAACCAAGGTGCCCAACACTAAATCCTTCTGAATAGCCTCATTTTTTATCCTTCCACTTTTCAGCACAGAAACAGCAGAGCCTGTCTCCTCTATTTCATTCATCAGTTTCCTCCAATTCTTCTGCTCTGCCTCGTCCGCTGCATCCTTAAATACTTCCAACTTCTTCCTTTTCTGTAAGAACTTCCTTGGTGTCAACATACCCATACAGGTAACCACCAATCTTCCACGTACATTAACATTCGAACTAATAGAATGTCTGCGTGCTTGCGATTTACTGAAATAAAAACAACATAGCACATTTTCACCACCGAATAAACATTACATTAGTTCAAAATTTGTAAAGACCTCTGCACAGATGCACTAGTTCTGCTCATACTATTAACAATCTGATACTTGTCCCCACTTTTAACATTTTTTGGTAATGAATTAGATCTTAGCATAGATATCCAATGCCAATCAATACATGCTAGCGCAGATTGAACCCTAAAGAACCTAGAAAATCCACATTTCTCCAAAAGTACAACTAGTCCTTCAGAAATCAAGCAGACGTTCAACGTTTCAAAGACTCGCAACTTCAAAAATCCCTAAATCCACAATCTAATATCAATGAATAGCTCTCCAACAATATAGTAAGAATCCACAGAACAAAAAGGATCAATAAAACAGCTCTCAAATAGAAATTTTAGAACCAGACAGAATTAAGATACCATTCAGTGCCAGGAATTTTCGAGTTAGCTACTTGAATTGAGATAGAAAATCATTAAAAAGAGAGTATAATTGCAGTTCATCACAAAATAAAAACACAAGAAATCACAACCAAGCGCTCGCAAACAAAAATGGGAACAAGTATGAAGATGAATAACGAGCGAAAGGGTTTAAGTAAGAGGTTTAAGCGTAACCTCCAATTGGGAAGAGGAACGGATATAACTGGCTTCAGAATCAGAGCTTGAGGCATCTGAGAAAGCTCTAGTTTCGGCAAAAATGGCTATGATGCGACCGGAGCTCCGCCTTCGTCCTTCCGGCGTTTGATATTTTTTTCTCAGAGCGCGCAGTTGCAGAGGGTCTGTTTAATATCTTATCCATTTATATTATTACTGTTTTTCTGTCATTTTAATTTAACGAGAGAGAAACTACGACTCTTCCCATATTAACCTTTTCATTTTTAAATAGGTATAGCTTGTAAATTAAAAGTTTTAATTAAATGATTTATTTAAATTTCATGTCTAATAAAAATTTTAATTGAAATAAAAAATTAATTACTATTTATAAATCTATATATTTTAATTGATTGAAGTAAACATCGAGAGCTAGGGATGAACATTCAATCCCATAACTCGACAACTAGGACCAACCCAACCCGAACTATAACGATTGGGTTCAGTTGGATTAGCATTTCGGATAGGGTTGGGTTTTTTTTTTTAACCCGAATTGGTTCGGTTTCGGGTTTGTGGATAAAACCTTCGGGTTGACTCGAGCCAAACAAAAATATATAAATTATGTTAAAAATCCTTCCGTATTAATAGTTTGCCATACCTCGACATTTTTCTTTTATTATTTTGTTTTATGACAATGTTGAACTATGTTAATATGTTTCAATTTTGGTTAGTTGTTTTTTATTCAATTTTTTTATGTGAATAATTATAGATGGATTTGTGTTTGTTTGGGAACTTTCAATATATTTATTTCTAAGATTGTATCCAAAAAATTATGAATCGTGGATAAATAAAACTTAAAAAAAAAAAATTTACAAGACAACCCAACCCGAAAATAGAGGGTTGGGTTGGATTGAGTTGTGAAATTTTTCGGGTTGGGTTATCAATTCAACAAACCCGAACTTTTGGGTTTGGTCAAAAAAAATTTCTCAACCCAACCCAACCCAGATCATGTACACCCCTATCAAGAGCCGAGAACAAAGTCTGCTTTAAGAAATTTAGTTTGTCTGTCGCTGTTTTATTTTGGACAAATGGTTTCGAGTATTGTGAAATCGATTTTAAAATTTATAAGCTTTAAAATGAATACACTCGGAGAATAGTAGTCTTCTCTTGTTTTTCCAATTAGTGAAGTTGTGAACACGAAATTATCGACGTTACTTCTACACAAATCCATCGATCTTTGTCAGTTAACCAAAGCTCGTCTCACGAATCGCACCTAAAGAGCCAATGAGAGATATATGTATGAAACCATATATCGCCTTTCCCTTAAGCTCAAAACTATGGTAGAGGACGGAATAAACCTATTCATGGAGACATTTTTTACAAAACCAAGTTGACCCCTATGTTTGGTCGAGTGCTTAAACTATGCTCGTAGAGGTTATGAGGTATAGTACCTTGATTATTACCAACACATGACGTGTAACTGATGTGTCGATAGCTTCGACTCGGTAGAATAAGAATTGTCAATTCCTTCTGTTGTCCACTTCTCGTTCGTTCAAATCATTTTTTCGGTGCTCCTTTCTCAAATATAGTTTCTAATTAATTGAATGTAACGAGACTAAAATTATAATTTTGAAAATTAAAAGGAACAAATAGACATAAAATTCAATTAAGAACATACGAGTGATTTTAACTTCTACACACGTTCTTAACCGTTAAAAATTGACTTTTAGAGTTACTATAGTAATTTTTTAAGCGTAAAAATAAATATTAAAGTGATTTTAAATGATAATTTAAAAATAATTATGGAGTCGGCCCAGTTCTCCAACTAAAACTGTCTTTACAAACTTAGTTGGGCCAAAATTACGCAGGCCCATTAAGTGGCCCAGCTCACCAACATAAGGCAGTTCATGAAATTGAAGTTGGGCCAAAATACGTGGCCCATTATACGGCCCAATAGTCGAAATTGTGAAATTGGGCCACATTTCTGCAGGCCCAGTTTACATATACGGGCCTTAGAATTAGAGAAGACGTGCCACGTGTTCTTAACGTAAGATTTAAATTAAATGCAATTTCCATTTATTTAAAAAAAAAAGAAAAATCGTTTCGACGCCAAAAATTAATTACAAAACAAAATATTCATCTCGTTTGCCGCTCTGTTTCTCCGAGACAAATGTTGCGAGCCTCAATTTCCTCCGAGCTGTTGTAATTGATCCACCACCGTAATCGTCGGTTTCCGGCCTAATTTTCCATCTCAAATGCCGAGTTTTCAGCCTCTTTTTCGTCGACAATGATCCCTTTCAAGCAATCATTCGTTTGTGTTAGCCCCTCAATTTCTCAGGTATGATTGGATTATTGTACGTGTTTTGATGGCATTGGAAATTCGAGGTTGAAAAGAAGTTTTGAGTCAAAAATTGGGAGGAGTAAAGTAGTTGTGAATTTATGATCCTTCTGTTGAATCTTTTCCCCCCTATTTTCTTGGCAACCAAACGGAAAAAGGAACGTGCATTTCCATATTTTCTAATTCTGAGTAGTTTTAGATCCGCGTGTTTACGTTTAAGGCTCGTGTTTTTTGTGTGCATTGGAATCCACTGTTATATTGCTGAGAATATCCCGAAGAGGAAAATAATCAGACGGCCCGCACTATCCTCTCTCGATTGGCGTCAACAGGGAACAATTGCTTTATTCAGAACCGTATTTATGTTTTTTGTTCTAGTACAGGAAGTAAGAATCTGAGGTTTTATAGTTTAATCTCGGATATGGTTTTGCTCTCCCAGCCAAGCGGTGCGCAATAAGGAAAGAAGGCGACACGAATCATCTCTGTTCTAGCGTAAAAGATGATCTATTCGCATTTGATTTTTCTTTTAATAAGTTTCGTAGTAGTCTTTGAATGTCTATCTCCACTTGTTATGATATTTGAGACATGATTGATTAGAATGCCTAAGATTTATATGGTTTCTGAGATGTTCATCACTAATTTTATGGCAGTTAGAAGAAGTAAATTCATGAAGGAAATTGTAGAAAGTAGAACTTATGGCGTCAAGTGTTGATGAAGATGGTAGGGAGCCAGCCATGGAGTCTGGAGAATCTGAGGAAGGAATTGTTGTGCGGGAAGTCTGTGCAAATGGGGTCTCCATAAAAACAACAGAAGTAGAAGCAAAACTCGATGAAGGAAATATTCAAGAGGCAGAATCTTCATTACGGGAAGGGTTATCCCTCAATTCTGAGGTTTGTTTATTTACCATCATGAAGCCATTATCATTGAAATGAACTTGAATTCCTGTTTGCTACAGGCTGCTATAAACATAGTCTAGTATGCAATTGAAGCTTATTTGAATTAGAAGGACAAAATTGAAAAACGAATTGGAGATCATAAGTGAGTACTTAAGGCGTTCACTTCCTAAATTTATATAAAAATATAAGTTCCTGAGTTTATTGTTCAGTTAGTAAGGCTTTGACCATCTATTTGTTGCCTGTTGGGAAACCTTTGTTAACTTCTGCCTACAGTCAAATTATCCAGGCGTTTCTGTTTGTATATTTTCCTTATTTTGATATCCTCCACCCACAAATTGTTGGAGTCTGTTTTTGTAATGTAATTAAAAACCCAAATCTTAACTAGATTCTATGACTGGAAACTCTATTCCATATATATATATATATATATATACCAATTAGATTAAGATTAATGAAAGTACAAAGAAGACCAACAGAAGAAGCATGCCATCTAACATGAGGTCAACCAAAAAGGAAAAAAGGAAAAAAGGAAAAAAGAAAAAAAACTTTAAAAAAGGGGCACTAATGTAGGAGAAGTTTTTGATAGATACAATATTTTAGTTCTTGGATCATAATTGTAGGAATATCAAATTTTATTTAATCTAATCGTCGTATTTTCTTTCTAGAAGTTTGAAAAAATTTATTTATGTCTGTAATTATTGAGCCAAAATGTATTTAAAAAAGGCATATATTATGATGCCAGTATCATGTTCTTTGATCTGCTGCGGTTTTCTATGCCCATGTTTCTATTTTCAGTTTTTCATTAGTACTATTAACTTGAATAATTAGTTGGTTGAATCAGCGACTTCAATTCCTAAGAGGCCTATCTGTTTTCCTCAAAATCGTTTGGCATAAACTTCAGAAAATTATTTGAAAAAAAATCCAAAATCAAAACATAGAATACTTTGATCACATGAGCGTGCTCTATTTGTTAACCACTTCGAATATGTGAAGTCCACCAATGAATGAACAAAGAAGAGACTAAATTGATCGCTGTACTGCATCCTACTACTACCATACTAATATTTTTTTTGGGGAGTCATTCTGTTCAATATGCGGCAGCTTAGAAATATTGATCAATGGTTTTTGTTACATAAAAAAATGGCTGCAGGAAGCCAGAGCCCTTCTTGGAAAGTTGGAATATCAGAGAGGTAATCTAGAAGGTGCACTACGTGTGTTCGATGGTATTGATCTCCAAGCAGCTATTCAACGATTACAGCCTTGTATTGCTGAGAAGACACCTCCAAAAAAAGGACGTTCGCGCTCTGATTCTCAGCCTGCAGTTTCACAGCATGCTGCAAGCCTGGTGCTTGAAGCCATATATTTAAAAGTGAAGTCTCTTCAGAAGCTAGGGAGAGTAACTGGTAAGAAGGACTAATCTAGTGTAAATGGGGATAGACATACACTCTTTCTTTTTTTTTTCTTTTTCTTTTTTAATTGTGCATCTCAAATTCTAACTAATACGGGACTTTTCAGAGGCTGCTGATGAGTGTACTAGTGTACTTGACGCCATAGAGAAGATATTCCAACAAGGAATTCCTGACGGGCAAGTGGATGATAGATTGCAAGAGACTGTCAATCAGGCTGTTGAACTCCTCCCTGAGCTGTGGAAGCAGGCTGGCTGTTTCCAGGAAGCAATATCTGCCTATAGGCGTGCTCTCTTAAACCAATGGAACCTCAGTAATGACAGCTATGCTAGGATCCAGAAAGGATTTGCTGTGTTTTTGCTTTACAGTGGAGTAGACGCTGGTCCTCCTAGTCTAGCTGTTCAACTTGAAGGTTCATATGTACCGAAAAATAATTTGGAAGAAGCAATTCTACTTTTGATGCTTCTTGTGAAGGAATGTTTCCTTGGTAATACAAAATGGGATCCATCCGTGATGGAGCACCTAATATTTGCTCTATCCTCATGCAGACAGACTTCTGTTTTAGCAAAACAATT